AGAAGCACCAGCTTGTAAGCTATTCCCATAATAAAACTTTGACTTTGACTTTGACAGTTTGGATCCAGGAAAGTGTGAGATGTATCTAATGTACCGTGCGTTGGATTATTTTGCTCCCCAGTTACTCAGAACTATTCGACAACCTATACAGGATAAATTTTTGCACCGGAAGTTGCTATTATAGCAGGAATATAAAGATGCTGAGTTTATTAAAACCCCTTCATCTTGTAAGCGTAGCATTTCCGTTAAGTGAACTTCTTTCGGACAGATGTACATCATATTCTTTTTTCTCAAACTATTTCCTTGTTCAGGTCCGTCAACAGACTTGTCGAACAATTTGATACGAACTGTGTCCAATCGTCCCGTCGACTCGTCTTCAGTGACCCAACCGATCGACAATTTTTGATGTGTAACGATTCATCTATGTAAACATCCTATGGGACAAGAGAAGCACCAGCTTGTAAGCTATTCCCATAATAAAACTTTGACTTTGACTTTGACAGTTTGGATCCAGGAAAGTGTGAGATGTATCTAATGTACCGTGCGTTGGATTATTTTGCTCCCCAGTTACTCAGAACTATTCGACAACCTATACAGGATAAATTTTTGCACCGGAAGTTGCTATTATAGCAGGAATATAAAGATGCTGAGTTTATTAAAACCCCTTCATCTTGTAAGCGTAGCATTTCCGTTAAGTGAACTTCTTTCGGACAGATGTACATCATATTCTTTTTTCTCAAACTATTTCCTTGTTCAGGTCCGTCAACAGACTTGTCGAACAATTTGATACGAACTGTGTCCAATCGTCCCGTCGACTCGTCTTCAGTGACCCAACCGATCGACAATTCCTCCGTTCAGCAGCCCGATGACCATGAAGCAAATCTATTCTCAACTACTAATCCCGAAGAATGTGCTCAGACTCCAGTAGAAGAGATTGTTCGTTCATCCTCGAACCGGCTAACTCAAGCCAGTCACCAACTTGCGGCAGCCTTGATATCAGCACCTGCATCGAATGGATTGCTGTTTGTAACTGAGGCAAATGTAAAGTCACGTATACCTGGTCATGGAGTCCAAATGCATGAGAAATTATCGGCTCGATCTCGACGTCGGTAAGTGTTCCACTAATTCGGTTACGATCTCGACCACGCAACACAAAATACGCAAGCATTATTATACCTGGTAGATTTACTTAGAGAGATGAACCTTTTCTATGGTTTTTGGCATTTCTTCAATCTTCCATGTTCATTCAGTTGAAGTTTTCTGCGTGATTGTATTAACATTGCGTTGGTAAATTGTTATCCTTAGGTGTCTAAAAACTGATCCCAGTCATGCGTACCATTCAAATGAACATTACATACATTACAGATCAGAGTGTGCATAATCAGCTGGAAGGTACTTTAGGATCTACAAGTTATTTTCTTTGATTATTATATCGGTGTAAAATGCGTCATCCGTCGCCCATTTCTAGTCGGCATATGCTATCCTACTTAGTAAACCCAAGGTTGATTTTTTGTCCGCAGGTAAGTGATGACTTTCAGATGTTTGGAAAATTGCTGGCAACTTTCTTTACGGTGGGACGTTTTGTCACCCAATGAGCACATTTAATGACAATCAAATGTTTATCTTTCCACGCCGACAGAGTACGTTGGTTTGGCGTGACTGCTTAGATCCCTTGGAGATCCGACGGACGACTCAGGAGGTCTTCGCATGCCGAGAAAGCTGTAGTTTCTTTATGGGGAGATGGGATTGCCATCAATTGCAAAGTGCTCTTGCTCTCGGTTAACTCTTGTTCTCATCTGTTGATTTTTACCATGGTTTTACCAGCACAGGTAAAAACCATACGTGTTTTTATATGTATATATGTTTACCAACGAAAAGGTAAATATACCCGAAAGCGCACGACCGATTTTGCGGTTATTGGTGCGACAGGAAAACAGCGCATCAAATCGAATTTATTCTACTTCTATTCAAATACTGCCAGTAGATATCAGTTCTTCATTGCAAATGGAGGTTACTGGGGTAATCAGTTAGCTCAAAAGATGTAATTCCTCCGACCCGGATGGGCTATCCCCATTGGCTTTTAGGGATGGAGGGTCAGGCTTAGTTTTCAAGTTAACGAAATTCCTGAGAACGGTGTGAGAGAGATTCCAACAGAATGGCGTGAATCGGTCACCACACCGATTTGCAATAAATGTGACAGACCCTCTCATGATAACCACAGAGGAATGAGTTTAGTTAAAATCATCTGTAAGCTATTCGCTGGTATTATAACCCGTCGATTGTCTGCCGCGCGTGAACGGTGCACGCGTGAGAACCAGGCTGGTTTTAGACCTGGTCCAGATTGTATAGACCACATTTTCACCCTTCGCCAAATTTTAGAACACACTCCTTTCGTAGACCCACCATTTCTATCTTCCTCAATCTGAAAGCGGTTTTCGAATCAGTTGACCGCTCTAAACTCTGACACTACCTCGCTCTGAAGGGTGTGCCTGAGAAGTTAATTTCAATATTACAATCCCTTTATACTGATAGCTGATGTCGAATCCGGGCTTACTGCACTTTTTCGCCCGAGTTCATTACAGAAAGTGGTGTTTGCCATGGTTATCCTCTCTCTCCGTTTCGATATAATTCTTGAAACAGCCCTATCTTCATGTGAGGATAGCGCTATCGATCCGAGTATGCAGACGACATTGTGATGCTAAGTAAGATCCAAGTGAGTTGTAAACCTTTCTGAATAGTTTGAATGCTGGTGTAGACATTTTCGATATACGTTGTACACCCTCAAAGTGTAGTGTTACTACAAAATTGGGTTGGTCCAGTACCCAACCTCACTTTAATTGGGAAGTGGTGGAGGAAGTAGACAAATTTGCGATTTGGGCATCTTTGTCTCATCTGGCGAAGGCGTCACAGATGAATTGTCGGCACTCATACAGAAGACTCGGTGGGCGTTTGGAAACTTGAGACATATGTGGCACCACTGCGACATTTGGTTGTGTGAAGGGCTCGATGTATGCTCTAGCGGATTGGTCAGTTCTGCTCCACGGTGCAAAGACTTGGCCATTAAGGGGACAGGATAAAAGCAGATAAAAACAGATTTTCTATTTTGGAACACCGTGGTCTGCGCCTCATTGCACGAGTTTGGTGCGGTAAACCGGATAAGCAATTCTGAGGTTAGGCGCAGAGTTTTAGGTAACCACCCCCGTCCACTAGAATAAGTGATCGAGCTCCATAGACCACAGCGGTTGGGACATGTGTTATACATGTCACCAAACAGGTTGCCACGGCGTGAGATATTTGCTGAGGCAAACAGAGGATGGAGAAAGGCCAAGAGCGTTCAAACTAAGATTTGGCATGAGGGTATGAAAACCCTAACCAGGACACTGGGTCCTATAAATACCGTTAGGACCCTGGATGGGTACCCGGAAATCACGGTAGCCGGTGGTTAGAGACCCCGAATGATATGGCTAAGCGTCTCAAACAGTGGCGCTCGTGCATCTGCTCACTCTCCTTACAACCCCAGTCTCTATGAATTCTCTACCTTCTCTGGGAGTTTACTCTAGATTGTCCAGTCTTCCTTCTGTTTTATTGAAATGGGCAGTCAAAGGCAGTAAACACAAACGACGCACGGAGGTGCATAGTTAATGGTTGTAAAAACTGAAACTTCTATTCTGGTGGGAGTCTACTATTGAAATATCTCGAGCATATCGCGGCCCCAAAACTGGATACAAATGACAGGTCGCTTCCAAATCCATGCGAAAACTCGACGTAACTCCCCCTCGTGAGTAGAATGAATATCACCTTTCTAGACAACAAATTGAGCTTGACACAGCCGTCAGAGACTTCCGTAGACTGTTCCGCATCATACTTGGTACATCGGGTAAGATATCTATAATAGATGCCTTACCGGATGACCTAAGGGGCGACCTTATTCAACAAACTAAATAAAAATTGCTGTCTTTGGTTGAACACTGACCAGCAACTGAATCGTACGACTAAGCAACGCAACTATCTAACAGTAGCAAAAACGGTGAACTACACATTGCCAGCCGCGAGCCACCACGTGGGTCAGATAATAACCTCCGGCGCTTAATGAACGGTATAGATCGATGGCCTCAGAAGAAGATGGTATTCCACGAGAGATGGTGAGATCTTTAATACTTGTTGTGTTTAAAGTACCGCATTAGCTGTTTTGTGGGACGCTGCTGCTTGCCCCCCCCTCCAAAAAGGATCAAGATTGTGTTCGAGAACTGTCGAAACCTGTTCTGTACATTGACATGTTTACGTAAGCAATTGAGGAAATACTAGCAGGTCGCAGTTTTTATTTTCTTGCAATTATCTAGCTTTTCGTTTCTCGTTTTAATTCTTTTCATAGTGAATAATGGAGATTGAGTTGCGTGGGCTGACCTAGTATCTCATCTATCGCATTTTTGTAGCATCATTTTGTAAATCATTTAGAATTTTGTTTCCTTTCTCCTTTGCGAGTTTATTATCCGGTTCGGTGTGAATTCTTCATGAGGTTTCACACATAGAGCAACAAACTACTGATAATTTTCTCAATGTATGAGTAACGAAACTAAGCAGCCGCTGTTCATTTCCGTGGTACCACCTGTGAATCGGACCAATCGGACGATCCACAATCAAGAGGTTTGAACAGTGTAGTCATCCGCTCATGATATGCTTGTCCAACTGGTCACCCTTAGCCTTCTCCCTATCATTAATTTCTCCTGTGTATGTTACGTACCGTGAAGTTCGATCATTTGACTTAGCACCCGACCTGATCGTCTTAATAAGTAATTTTGAAGCGCACACATCAATGTCTTCTGTACGCTTTTCTCTCCGCTTGTTCCCTTCAAAAAGCACAACAAATTCTATTCAAGAACTGGAACAAAAACAAACTCGGGCTCGTATTTTGCGCCAGCAACATTTACTGGAACGTGCGGAGCGTGTGCACGAATTGAGCAAAAAGGTACGTCAATGATCAACACATTACACGTTCAGTATCCGGATTGCATGGAGTTCGCAATCCTATCGTGCTGTGATCGCTTTTAGGTTGTCATAGACAGACAGAGAGAGAGAGAGAGAGTGATCTACTCATTCAACTGTTTTTTGTAGGTTGTGAGCAGTACATAGGCTCCGACGCTTGTGATAAGTGAGTTCGCTTCTGCTCTCAGCATTGTTCTATAACTGTAGAGTTTTTGACGTGCTTTATCGACTGCTACTCTCTTTGCATGGTCTTTTCTGCTGTTTCGAAATTAAAACTTATGCACGCAAGAGTCAGACAGGAAACTATAAGCTGAATGATGATGTTTGTCGACGTCTCGATATGCAAACGAAACAATAAGTGTTACTATTCGACAGGGCGACGTAGACTGTAATGAAAAGAAATTAATGTAAAAAGGAGATATCAGAGAATGGGAGATAATGAATGATCTACGCGGAATGGATGGGGTCTTAATGGTGGGCAGCTTTGCTGTCGCCCGGTTCAATACCACGCCTGACCTAACGGGGCCTCATGTGGTTTGCCACTGTAAGTCCCGGGGCTTAGGATGCCGGTTTCCATCACTGAACAGCAGGTCTTCGCNGTTTCGCCCCGTCTACTGTGCATCACACCAGGGTGTGGAATAAAATTTAAAAAATGAAGAGATCAGTGCTATGCGGTCACGAACAGAAAACATCTACAAACAACATGTCATCACAGGTGGCTGAGGTGGCTTTTTGAACATAGGAATTAGGAGAAAAACGGCCAGGAACCTATTAAATCGAACTCACCCTTAGATTGTGTGACTAGGCATTGTGTGATGAGCAGTAAAACAGATGAATCCCATAGCCATGAAAACTATAATGACGAGACTGCACCTTGTCATTGTGTGATTGCTTGTGCACCTCTAGCNATTCTGTTGAACATGAAAGGTCAAAGGGTAGAGACCAGACAGTCTCCCGGTTTTTCCGGTTATGTTTTGACTCGAGTTAGCGTATCAGATGGCAAAAAAATAATGAAAAGTGAACAAGTTCACGTAAATTGACTTACACTTCGATTTTCCCTCGGCCTTGCAATCAGGTTCCTGACAAAACTAAAAAGTCTTTGAGAATCCTAATCTCTTCCCTACTTATTGGTTATACTCCTCAGCCGTACCCGTCCATGAAGCTCCAGTGCATAACTAAAACAAATAATCGGTCGTTGCACAGGACCGTGCTGCGCATTGCATTAAACTGGGTGGGTAGGGATAAGTGGGCTAGTATTCAGTTATTCCAATCTTCGTTTAATTCTCTACTTTGTGTACCTTCCTCTTTCCCTTTGTCCCACTTCCGGTCTGTAACATCCCTTCTGATAACTCTTGTCATCAATAAACTTGACTCACACTCCTATGACTACTGCCACATGGTGTTGTAAGTAATGTATCGTCGTATAAATTGCATATTCCTAAGTCTCATCAACTGCTCAATCGGATGACTGTTTACAGGTGGGTCAACTATTTTGTCGTGCACGTACGATGGGCTCATTAGCAATCGATTTTTGTTCCATATCGGGGATGTGAATTCAGGGTCTGAGTATTATTAGCTACTTAAGTGCCGCGAGTCTATCCTCGAGGTATTTCCTTCGCGCATCAAGACACGATGCAGTTCGATCACTTAGTCATCACAAAGTAGGTATCGTACTGAACGACAAAGCTGAGGCCTCACCGATAAACTGGATACCCATTAATGGCTGTTTATACGCGATGAAACTCCACGCTTCAGTTACCGTGTGGCGAGGAAGCAACACTCAAAGGTATTTGCTCATCATTTCTGCAAATGCGCCCACCAACTGCAGTCCCAATTTACAAAATGGCGAATTTTGAGATATCCTCACGGGACCTGTTCAAAAGAGCCGCAGCCCTGAGATAATTTTGCTGACAAGTGATGTTAACGCACAAGCTGGAAAAACTGAACGCATCAGACGTTTGTGTAGGACTTAGTTTCACTCTGACCACCTAGCGAACAGAGAACGGCAATAGACTACTTCACTTTTGTGCAGACAGTCGGTCGTTCTTATCTAGCGCCAACTTTCAACGTAGCTCTAGACGGACGGCAAGTTAGTGTTCTCATTTAGCGAACAAGTTGACCCAAATTGATCACGGCTGTATGCTATCGTTGTTGTGGCTCGGTACAAAGGTAAAGATCCTAGTGGACCACCTGCGTTGAGTCTGATCGCGCACTAGTTCTGATGCGCTTCACGCTTCTTCTCGACACAAATCGATGCCTCGGTTAGGTCGTTGTCTTCGTGACTCTGCTGTGTGCATGCGTTATGATCAGACGTTTAGATAGGGGTAAGCAGCGGAGTAGGTCAACATTGGGATCAAATTAGACACAAACACACTTGTTTGTAGTACTGGTTGTCTTCAAATTCCTCTGGCTCTTTTGAAGAGAGTGCCAAAGTCCATGGATTGAAGGCTTACGACGAAAGAAAAAAGTCTCACATTTCACTCATTGAAGTTGCCTCACATCAGGTGGGTCGTTGACACTATTTTCGATCGAGATCAACCACGAATTTTCATCCGCCCCGAATACCCAGCTTGGAACCCGGAAATTCCACACCGTAACCATTGCTCTTAGGCTTCGAGCCCAAGTTATTCGATGAAATCGAGGTAATACATCAGTAATAGGCGTCCATATCGCATTCGTATTGTGTAACTGTCAACACAAAGTTATTCATATTGGGAAGATCCTAAGTAATTTAACAGTGACGGAAGTCTCACACAAAGAAGTTCATTTCCCAGTAATTTGCAACAATACTTCGAGCACTACGATACACAAAGATGTGATACACACACATAATGCTCTCAGTTTTTCGCCCCATTCTCCCACTCCCTCATTCATTGGAAATCGAATTGTTAGCCGAAAGTTGGAAATAAAAAGCTGCTCCCAGAAGTAACAGTTGAATGGTTCTGCCGGATTCCGTTTCCTTTGGTTTCTGATTTTCAACCCGAATATTTTACCGGATAAAAACGATTCTGACAATTTGCTGTTGATTTCTCCGCAATAAGCAAATCTAAAATGAATATTAACAGGTAGTCACTGTTAAATTCACCAAACTGCACGCATGTGTTCTACATCACACTTGCATTAGCAGCGAGAGTGGATTGCCTCCAGCTTTGTTTTGCACACCGCTATTATGACTATCAGAACAAAACACTAATCTGCACTCACTTTTGTAATAAGGAAATCAGAGAGACTTAGATGAAAACTAGTTTGCAATTACAGGTTTCAAAAATGACCAGATTGCAGACCGGAAATATGAGCTTTCATTACACCGAAGTGAAGCCCAATCATGTGTCAACATCAACTAATGGAGTTGTCTAAACCTGACCATAGTTTTAATCCCATCTTGGAATTAAATATCCCATTGTCACGGATGTCGCATCCACCTTTTTCGTGCAATCTTCGGGTCACAAAGCCGTCGAAATGAACAATTCAACAATTAGACCAGATTAATTTAGAGACGAATACATCTTATTTCATATCATGTTTCCTAAAAATAAGAAAAAACAGATTATCAAACAAAAAGGATATTCTTTAGATCCTTGACTGAATATGTGGTTTTGTTTTAGAATCACAGTATCCATGCTCAAGACTCACCGTCGGGTTGCGCCACGAATGCTACACATTTTTATCGGCAATTGTAAGCAAAAATACAAAGATACTTGGACAGTTTTCTATTTAATCTGTCGAACTTATATGTTCAAGCTGTAATTTCCCCCCTCTGCTTTTGCAAGTTTACCTTACCCGTGGCTGTCTCCCTGATAGCATCGGGCAATGCTCGTATACGAATCCGCTTACTGGCCAATGCTATTTTAACCCAAGTTTGTCCGTTGTTCTGTCATAACGTTCTATTGTATTGCTGTAAACGTTGACTTACAACCCGCGTTCTAAGAAATTCACTCGGGACACAGTTTTTGTCCCTTTTCTATCAGGAAATCAGTAGCTTCAAGTATCTTATGCATACTCCTTTCTACGTACATGCACGCCCCCTCTGCGCACGCATACGATCCAGGTTGAAGAAGTGCACATGCAAAAGCGACTGCTGTTGCATCAGCGTCGATCATGCTTGGAACGCCGATTACACGCAGCCGAGCGGAAACGTCAAGCAGAGTTGGAACGTCGCGTGCTCAAGGCACATGACGAAGAAACCAAAGGTCGTGAAATCGCATTCATCCAGGTTTGTCCCGTTCTTGTGATTTAAAATTATTCCTTATTGTTCAAATAGTTGTTTGGCAGATTTGAAGTTTGTATGTCGATTGTGAAAAGTTCAGTACCTCGGTGGGATTCGAACCCACGCATGGACGCCGCCTACGCTTTGTGCGCGCATGCCCTTATTGCTTCACATATAACCATGTCGTGTCACCATTTACAGTCGGTTCTCTTGACCTCAGATTTCTCTTTATGCGTATACTATCTCAATCTTGATTACAAATTAGCGGTTAGCACTGACGGGTAGTAACTATAGCGGTTGAAATTTTAATTGTGGTAATTCTTTAATTTCATTTCTGTTTCGTTGATTGTGCTCGATACACTTATTTTCGTACCTTCTGGTTTTAGTTTCCATTCTCTGTGTCTGAGAGAGAAAGACTGAGTGAGTAAGTCACCAGAGAGACTGATTAAAAGCGGGCTGCGGCTCAAAGGTTCGTTGGTTTACATCCACTGCACTAAATCCACATTACTTCAAGAGTAATCGTTTTTCTTTTTGAGGCCAAAGATTCCATGCATAAATTTATAACTCGAATCTCAAGAGCAGTCTAATATGTGAACCTCTTAGTCATGATTTCAAACGGCTGATTGACTCGCATCCACTGTGAAGGTGGCCATTAGGTTTGGCAACCTACTGTCACCATCCATACTGGATCAATGAGGAGCTGATGGTAGAGTCTGTCAATGTAACTTCCCCCCTAGGACGTAGTACCTACATTCAAATACGTCTGTTACGCTTCGATTCAAGGTAGTTCCTCTGGTAACACGCGTAGATCTATAGACTACACACTGTTGAATAACTCGGCGCTCTCTGCTCAGTGGGTTTCTTATGACGAAGAAGCTAATCCGTTGGTCACGTGGAAGAAATTTATTGACAATCTCACAAATATAATAACATCCGTGACTAAAACCAGAGTAATCACCAAATCCGGCATCCCAAATTCACCTATTCGAAGCTGCACAAGGAAATGGCTATCGACGAGGTACTTATCCTGGCGAGATTATAATCGTCTTCCGAATGCTGTCACATGGAATAACTACCGTATGCTGAGGAACCACTGCACCGGGCTGATTCCTGAGGATAAAGTGAAATACCAAGAGGCTCTGGCGCAAAAATTCGTTTATAAGCCTAAGCTGTTGTACCAATACGTCAACTCCATTCGGAAAGTAAAGTTTGGTATACCGGCACTAAGTAGCGCTGAAAGAGTTGCAGTCACTCCAAGGGAAGCAGCTGAAATGCTGAAAATTTATTATTCCAATGTCTTCGCAGCACCGCAGTTTGAAGGTTTACAACCACCGGGTGTATCATCTTCCATATCCTTCACTGGCCTACGTTTCATTTACTGCTGAAAACGTCAAAGCAAAACTAATGGCTTTGCGAAAAAATGCAACCCCAGGTGCGGACAACATACACCCGAAATCTCTGATCTTTTTAGCAAATCACATACCCGAACCGCTCGCTATTCTGTTTCAACGAATGTTCGACCAAGCAACACTCCCCGAATCATGGAAACAAGGAGTCATTTAACCCATATACAAAGGTGGTTGTCTTAGTGACCCTAACTAACTAACTACCGACCTGTAACCCTGCTTCCGGTGTTATCGAAGATCATTGTAGCCGATTCTCTGATGGAACACATCGACAGATACAACATTCTTTCGACAGCTCAACACGGGTTTAGGCAAAGACGATCCTGCTCCACCAACCTGCTTCTTGTTCGAGATAAATGGACCAGTACAGTTGACGAAGGGAATGCGGTGAATTTGATTTATCTCGACTTCTCGAAAGCATTTGATCGACTGATTCACAAAATTCTGCTGTAGAAGCTCTACAATTATGGCGTTCGAGATTTCGCGTTGGATTGGATTAAAGCATTCCTCGATCAACGAACCATGTCAGTTCGTGTTTCTGATTCCATATCCGGATCTATCAAAGCCACCTGCGGTGTTCCACTAGGGTTCGTGCTCGGTCCCCGGCTGTTCCTCGCCTTCATAAATGCTCTACCCAAAGTGTTAGGCTCAAAAACAATACTGTTTGCAGACGACGCCAAAATCTGGAATACGGTAATAGAACCAGAGGGCTCTCTAACACTTCAAGAATCAATTAACGCAGCTTATCAATCGTCTAAGGAGATCGACATTGAATTTAGTGTTTCTAAACGCGAAGTCCTATCCCTATGCCACAAGCGGAAATTCTCTTATTTCCTCGGGGACCAGCAGCTACCACATACTTCTAGCGGGAGGACTTAGGTATTGTTATTCACGAGGATTTAAGCTGCTCCAACAATTGTGCTAAGGCTTCATCTGCCATTATAAAGAATGTCGGCCTACTTCGGCGAGTCTTTGGCCGGTTTGAACCATCACTATTCCCACGTTTGCTATCAGCGTACATTCGACCCCATACAGAGTATGCCATCCAAGCTTGGAGTCCATGGCTTCAACGTGATCGCAAGATGCTTGAGCGTCCACAAAGGATGGTTACCAAGATGGTCAAGGGATTCCCTTACCTGACCAACGAGGACAGGTTGTGATCATTGTGACTATATTCTGCTCAGTACCGCCGAACTCGAAACGACTTGATTTTGACGAAAAATGTACACCTAAGGGGACGCCGTTTCAAACTACTAACTCCCAAGTGTCGACTGGATTGCCGGCGCCAGTCTTCTGCAGTCAGAGTATGCAGATCTTGGAACGCCCTTCCATCTCATGTCGTTTGTGCACCCACTATTCAATCTTTCAGGCAGAGACTCGACGAAACCTTGGCACACCTCACATTCATACACCACTGAAAGCAAACGGAAAATCACTGTAGCCTACATTCTCTAATATCTCCTAACAGGAACTCTATGTGACTCCTTTTTCGATGTGTAACGATTCATCTGTGTAAATATCCTATGGGACAAGAGAAGCCACCAGCTTGTAAGTTATTCCTGTAATATAACTTTGACCTTGACTTTGATATTCTACTACTCCTGTATACTTGGTCCGGGCTAAGAGTTTGAATGGTGAACTACATGAGGTCCCGATAAAGTAGGCTTTGTATGGAACCGATCAGCAGTACTATTGTTCACCACTCCAAACGTTGACACGTGATACGAATCCGAGGCGTAAGACTGCTAGTTTTACTTCAGCATTAATTGAAAATCCAACCAAAACATCTGGTAAAATCGTTTTGTTCCCACATCCAACGTTTCTTTTCACTTCCTCTTCATTTTGCCGTACGGATGCTAACGTGAGTGGTAATAGTATTTTGTTGTCACCAACTAATCAAATCGAGCTGGCCAGCGTCAAACTGAAAAGTTTCTTACATCAATAATACCAGAAAGGTTTGTCACCTGTTGAGAATACCCTATACAGTCCTCGCTTGATTGATTTCCACGTGGTCCGTTTGATCACCATTGGATTTGTTCTTATCGTAACCCATTATGTCTTGCCATTTTTATTGAGCCCGTCTAGCTTTGTTCTCATTCGTTCATCCTAAAATCCAGACCCTGGAAGCTGAACAGAAACAGCATAGTATTTTGACAAAACATGAAGAAAGTCAGGCGCGTTTGCATGAACTGGCGGCCGAGCGTCGTCGAAGGCTCGAAGAGAAGTTGTGCCGCGAAGAGGCAGCCAAAGTGAGTGATTCTTTTCGTTCTTCCACTTCATCTTATATGCATTCTTTGAGTTATTTTTCATATAATGTCAGCGACCCTTGTTAGTTTTAGCCCTGTAATAATCCGAATGATCGAGTGTCGTTTCGTTAGCATGTCCTTTTTCCTGAATGTTTCAAGACAGATTTCTTGACGTACGTCGATGGTGTATTCACGTACAGCTGGACGGAGTATTCCGCTCATTTACCACTGCTTTGACAGAATTTTTCAAACTGGACTTTTGGAAGCAGCCCTATCCTGGTGCGACGGTAGTGGCATCGATTTAATTACAGGTGGCAAACTGTCTGATCTGTAGTATACAGTATACCGTTAAGCGAAGATCCAGATGAGCTGCAAGCTTTTCTGGATANGTTTTGCACCTTCAAAGTGTAAAATGTGACTACAAGACTGGCTTGGTCCGGCACCCAGCCTCACCCTAACTGGGGAAGTAATAGAGCGATTGGAAAAGTTTCGTTATTTGGGCAGCTACATCTCACCAGGTGGACCCATCACGGATGAAGTGTCAGCTCGCATACAGAAGGCTCAGTTGGCGTTTGCTAACTTGGGACATCTGTGGCGCGGTCGCGACATCCGGTTGTCTGGGAAGGGTCGAGTGTATGCTGCGGTAGTTCGACCAGTTATGTTATATGGCGCAGAATCGTGGCCATTAAGAAAACAGGATAAAGACAGACTGTCGGTGTTTGAACACCGCTGGCTACGCAGCATTGCACGAATTTAGTGGGGCAGCCGGACGAACAGCGCTGAGGTTAGGGGCAGAGTTTTGGGTAAATACGGTCGCCCACTGGAACAAGTGGTCGACCTCCATAGATTATATTGGTTTTGGTATGTATTGCACGTGTCACCAAATAGATTGTCACGGCAATCGGTGTTTGCTGAGGCAGGTAGTAGGTGGAATAAAGCCAAGGGTGGTCAAGCTAAGACCTGGCATGAGGGTATGAAAATCCTAACCGGGAATCTGGGTCACATAGGTCTTGGTGTTCTCCCTGGATGGGGTCCTCGGGACGATCAGAACCGATGTGTTACAAACGCTGAATCACATGGCTAAGCGTCATAAACAATGTGGTTCGTGCATCTTCTCAATTTCTCTGCATCATTAGTCCACTGAACTTCTCTCCTCGATCCTACTTTCAATCTTCCTGTTTTCCCTATTGTTCATCCAATTGGGCGGTCAAAAGACAGCAACCAAAAGCGACGCACGGAAGTGCATGATTAGTAGTTGTTCAAACTGAAACTGAAAACTCGTCGCCGAACTTCAGGATTGCTTGTCCAATTTGCCCCTCCAAACTGGTGCAATGCGGCGTAGATCGCAGTGTTCAAAAACAGTGAATCTGTTTTTATCCTGTTCCCGCAAGCGTTTTGCAATGGAAATTTGCTGACCGATCTGATAACGTTTGCGGAGTTTGAATTTGACTATGTGTAAAGGAGATTTGGGTTTCAAACATCTGATGACTTCTGGTTGGTTGACCTTATTAGTTGAACACTCACTGATATCCCATGAGAGTGAGAGGAAGAACTCGATCGAGAAAGTGAGTTTTCGAGTTTGATACACAAAATACTTCGCCGACGAAGGGGTTTTGCTTTGCGAACTCTAACCAGGGCCTTCGATTCAAAAATTGTAGGAAGCAGTAGATATTATGAGGGTTCTGGAGCGATGAGACGATACATCAGGAAATGGTTTAGATACCTTAGTACAAATGAGTAAAATGAAGTGAGACGGTTTAAGGAGGCCAAGAATAATTAGATTTTTCTGTCTGTTTCGGCGTACATTCTTTTGGTTTTTGAATATTTGCCTTTTTATGTGGCGCGGGATTTCAACTGACAGACTACACAGCATTTACGCTACTAACTTCTTTCGTTAAACTTACCTCATAGCGGCCCTATCACTCGATAATCCTCATCCATTGAGTTCCTAACAGGAAGATTGGTTGCATCGACCAAAGCTAAAGCTGAAGCTACCCTGTTCATATTCGAAATGACAAATCATGGTCCGACCGTCTCGTTCCTTCTGACCTTGCCCAGAACTTGCAAAGAAAGCACGGGAAGTCGGGCGATGGTCAGGCGCTCACGAAACATGACTGAGGAATCGAAAAGTCGTGGAGATTTATTTATTTTTTTATTTTTTCACAAATCAGGTATCAGCATCCAATACGATGAAAAACCTCGTCATTTGTTCATCACCGAATTGTAGATAACGTGCTACCTCTTCGGATATGGATTCTTTTTGAAACCTTTCCGTTTATCGATTAGCATGCTCAACGCGGAGGGGCCAGATCTCGCAACCGTTAAGTAGAACGCTAAGAACCGCGGCGATCTAAACCCTCTAGCTCTAGCTTTCGCTATTCATGATGCGACCTCCTCCCAACATTCCCACCTGCTGCGGTAAAGCTCCCGAGGTGCTTGAAGCTCTCAGTCACTCCCAGCTGATCACCACAGAGGGTGAGTGCAGACACAGGCTCCTGCCAGTCTTGAACAAGCAATTTGCATTTGGATGGCGCAAAGCATATACCATACCTGGATACCTCGATCGCCAAACGATTCAAAGCATGTTAGACTGCCTGTGTGTTGTCACCCGGAAAAGCGATGTCACCGGCATATTCTAAGTCAAGGACTCTGTTTTCTGGGAGGAGTTTGACTCCATCGTTTGCTGGATCCGATAAAGCATTCTGTAGAGCATCCTCTATGACCAAGTGAAAAAGAAATGTGGATGTAGGGCAGCCTTGTTGAACTCCACTGGAGGCGGTGAAAGGTGGAGAAAGCTTGGCCAATCAGTTACTAAGAGGATAAATCACTGTTTCCAGAGGCTTGAANTTTTGATACGGGATACCAGTTATCCCCTTGGAAATCAAATCGATTGTAAAGACTTTGAAAATAAGAACAGAGTACAGGCATCCACTAGGTCTGTTGCAAGGCAGATATCCATTAAAGGTGAATTGTCGCCGAAAGGTATCGCTGCTGTGTTAAAGGTTTTGAAGTTGCTGAACCATGATGCCCCTGATCCTCGGACATGAATGAGTAGGTGGTAGGCAGCTTTGCTGTCGTCCAGTACAATCCCACGCCTTACCCTTGTGGGGACTTATGTGATTCATCACTCCAAATCCCGGGGCTTGGGTTACCGGTTTCTATGTCTGATCATCAGGTATTCGTGATTATGGGGTTCGCCCCGTCTGTTGTACGCCACACAAATGTGTGTAATAAAGAAAAGTAGAGGAAGAAGAAGAACTGGATATTTTGAACTTTATCGCTTGTCACGTTATTTCTTTAAATTCATCAATGACGGTTTAACGAATTTTGGCAGGACCATTGAACTGATTTGAAATGACTAATTTAGAAATCTCGGTTTCGGAACCTAGGATCCGGTACGCAAAATGCCCCTCATAGATTCATGTTTATGTGGGTGAACCTGTTGGCCATCTACAGATATCTCGTGTCTTTAAGCAAACGTTTTTTCTTGGAGGTTTTGCGGTTGTGTTGTCACTAACATGCGATCATCGACGCTCATGATACTATTCAACATGTTAACAGCAAAAATAAACTAAAAGCCACCGTCCAAAAGTGCTTACTTATGAGCCTCTAGGTTGTATGTATTTTGCACACGCTCGTGAGAAACTGCACATCTGTTTGCGCCTTTCGAAGTCTTTCAGGAATGTTCACTACGTTAGCTCGTTCATTGTGACGCTTGCTTAAACGGTGAGAAAAGTCCTGGTTCATGGATGTCTTAGGAACTATCTATTTTTATGTTTCTTTTCAAAATTACCATGTTACCTTTATTCGTTAACCACAGGGACGTCGCAGGGCTTTAGAAGCTTCTCGGCGGGCTCGTCTAGATGCACTACAAGCCCGCTGGGAAAGTCGGGCACAGCAACTTGCTTCTCGTGCCGAACTCCTGGAACATTCTCGTCGGGCTGCAGCTCGAGCCAAAGAACTCCATCGAGAAGTCAAAATCGCCAGCCTTGAAGAGCAGCAACGGACGCACATAGAACAACTTCGTACGAAAATCCAACGCAAGGTGATCACTTTGTATCTGCTTCGTGATTGGTACTCTCGTATCAGGACTGCGTGTTATAATGTTAATTTATGTCGGTTACCATCCCCATGTAATTCTTTGTGGATGGCTCAACAGCATGCAGCAAATAAATGCCCCCCCCCTGCAATTTACATTTCAAGTGGGTGCCTGCGTTTTTATACGAATTCCTCTGTTTTTATCTAACTCCACCAAGAGTGAAGCAAACGAGATTTGACATATTTTTCGTAGTTAATCCGTTTATTTTGACTTGGTGTCGACTGTTTTATTGCGGTTTATTCGCGATGTTAATTTATTCACTTTTTTAAAAAATAAGTAAATTTACATTGCGATAAGCAGACAATGTAAATTAAGCTCTACCGCGGTTCACTTTATGTTGGCGGCTACAGATTTTCGAAAATACGGCTGCACATTCTCATTTATCAACAACTGAAATTGTTTCTCCCGCTCTTCTTTACACCATTGATTTCCATTATGTGCGTTTATTGTACCCTAGCTGAGGTTAGAACCCAGGCATCACTACTTGGCTTTAGTGGTAGGTAGCTTCGTTGTGGTTTGACTCAATAACACACCTAACCTACTGTAACCTTATGTAGTTCAGTACTCCAAGTCCCGGGGCTTGGTTTTTGAAACCGCAAGTCCTCTTGACAATGGGGTTTATTCAGTCTGTTGTTTATCATCCAAGGAGGTGTAATGAAAAAATTCCACCGAATGACTCCAAAGCCACTAGCAATATATAAATTCGTATCAACAATTGATGAAGAACAGGTGCGGGGATTAAAATAAAAAATGTATTGATCCATTCTCTGAAGTTTTCATTTTATTTCAATTTTCGGTTTATATAGTCCCTAACCTTACACTTCTGTACAGTGGTTTTTTTTGCGGCTACATGTTTGGTCTAACATAGTGGAGAATATCGTGGGCCTAGAATCGAATCGGCACGGTATGAAATTGTCCGACAACGGGGTTGCCAAATTCGAGTAACACGGAGAGTGTCCTAATTCTGCACCTTAGAATAAGTTTGCGCTGATGCCAGTGATTCGAACTGCTCTGTGACAGTCACTAAAACCAGGATCATTTTCAGTTATTAAGTGACGTAAATTAACATGATCTATCTTCAATGACCCCCTGCATTGCTTGCTCTTTTTTGGTTTTGATTCTGAGTACTTTCCAATGTCTTATCAAGCCGCCCTGTACAATCCACTATTACTCAACGTGCCACCCACCACCACCCGTGATTTCACTCTCTTCATACTTCAGCAAGAAGAGTCTGAACGTAGGCATCAAGAACAGCTTCGTGAAATCAGCCGCAAGGCGTTCGAAATGTCCATCCTTACTCATACAGCAGATGACTCCATCACGGCTGCTGGAATGGAACCTTATCCTATTCAGAAGTGGTGTCGTGCTTGCCAAGTCACGGTTAGTCACAAAATCGAGGTGTTATATACATTACCAAACTTTGTTGACGACTTTTCCGCCTCGTGAAATTTAGACCATCGATTCAGTTGTACATTGATGACTGTATTTATGGTTTTTCGCACTTTGCCGCATTTCTCTTGCTTCTGTAATTCAATCATTTTTTAGTAATTTAAAATAATGGATTTCTTTTTTGGTAGTTTTAATTGTTTCAAGGTTACCGAGTTGTTAATTCATTTTTGGCCAACCACCTTCATTCTTATATTTAGAAACTACAGACTATTGAAACTATGACATCTAGGATAGAACGACCTGCTTGTACTTAGACGCAGCCCGTGTTCGAAGTGTTGGGTATGATGCGGCTGTGATTTACATACCTGAAACGGGACGTTCCCATGAGTGCCATGTCGTAGTAACAAATCCTGATCCCTTTTAAGAGTACAAAGGTAACTATTACCGTTTGTCGATATTTTTCTGTGTTGCGTTTATCGCGAAACGCTGTCTCCCATTCCAAACCAGGGCTGCTTTGTGACGCCGCTGATCGTTGAAAATCATTTTCGGCTCCAACCACGTCTTCGGACTGCGGCTTTGACCAACTGGATTGGTCCAGTTTCTTACACTTAGTGCACGGATTTTTGCACAGTGCGACGATTACGTAATGATGCACCTCCTTCCGGCTCGCACAAGTAGTAGCCCCATCATTGGGCTCCAATTCTCCCTTAAGATCTCGATGGTCCTGGGTTTCTTACCATCAATGCTTCTCTATAGTGGGCTTTTTTTAGATAAATATCGGATCATAAAACCATATAGTTCCTCCAGGTCGCTGACAATTAACACAATTGATTATGCTTTATGCGCGCAATTTGATTATTCTAATGGCCTAATCTACTACAGAACTGTCCGAGCTATCTCAGCTCGTGTGGTCTTTTGATGACGAATATTCGGTACCCGAGGATAATGCCAATTAACAAAATGTAATGACATTTTACCACTCTTCCATACTTCACAACATGTCTTTTGTCTACAAACTAAATAATGTGATCACAATCTCAATAAAGGCAATGTTCAACAAAATGTCGGAGATAGTAATGATAGTAATGAGCAAGTGGAATTTTTTTCTGGATGACATAATTGGTATTACACCGGCTTAATGACAAGCATGGTTACAAAGTCACACTGTTGAAAAATGAAAAAAAAGGTAAATTTCGATATTATGTTGGTGAGTGAATAGTGCGCGAACGCAGTACTTATCTGCTTATCTGAAAACTCAAATAGATATTCGATGATTTAAGTACAATGTGCATAGTTTGTTGGTTAATGGTTTCACGTGAAGTACACTGGCAGTAGTAGACAGAAGATGACATATCAGCTTATCGCGGAAAATGCAATTGTCTAAACGAGAACGGAATGAAGCAAAAGATAATTTTTTTGTTGCATATGAGGTAATGGCAAAGGATTGGTACATTTATCGGCTGTGTGGTTTTTGATTACAACTAAATATTTAGCTACAATGTTAATAATTTGAATAATAGAGTCGTGCGTTTTATTGTTGCGCAATACGTCCCCTAAAGTTACTGTAGATCCTTTTTTGTTGATATTGCGTTTAACTACGCATTGTTTTCTTTTACACCTTAAAAAGGGTCTTCGACTTTCAGTGTATTAATCTCGAATAGGCCAGACTCCGTAAGGTTCATTTTTGCTAAATAGTTTAAATTTCGTGAAAATATAGAAGGCAATCTTTTCGATCAATGTAGCTTTCATCAAATCTAGTATGTCATTTGTCAAGGCGTAGTGCTCACCTTTTCTGGTTATCCTGGCCAATTTATATATTATCTGATGGAAAACTACCTTCAGTCGGTTATTTATTGTACCACTGTTACGCTCATTTTTGATAGATTGTTTCTGAGGTCGCTCTGAAAAGTCACCTTCAAGGCAAACGACATCAAAATGCCGTACTAGAGGCTGGTCGAAATCGACCTTGGGACAGATCTGATGTGGTAAGTCTATGAAATAATCATTCACGTTCCCTTGATTCCATCTTGAAATTTGTTAGCGCTGTATCGAACCAACAAAGAAAATCCACTGATATATATATTTACATTTATTTATTATTTATTTATTTATATATATGTATTTTCGTCACAATAACAAAACTTCGAATCATAGCATTGATTCTTCATTGGATTGGCTCTGAAAGAGCTGTCTATCCAATGGTCACCCGGCGTTGCAAACAAGGTTATTGTGACGAATATATATATATATATATATATATATATATATATATATATATATATATA